TCTTATAAAGCTTTGGATGTTCAAACCTTTTTGCAATGCTGAAAACAAAATTAGTGAAACAATAGATTTCTAAAATATAACGACACAAATAGATATATTTGTTACTTACTCACACAAAGGTCTTAACACAAATTCTCGCTCACACATCGATTGATGTGGTATTACCAAAGTATTTGTTAAACAGTCAATATCATCATAAAACAGAATGTCCAAATCAATTGTTCTTGGACCATTCCTGACAGTGTTTTCTCGAGATCGTCCCAGATTTAGTTCTACAGTCCAGAGTTCTTGAATCAACTCTTCAGGCTTCAAATTTGTGGCAATCTTTACAGATAATTCAATTTATATGAGCCTTGTATTTTATTAATAAATTGAAAATATTTTAATCTTACCTTGCAAGCGGCATTCAAGAAATTAGGTTGATCTGTTACATACATTGGTGAAGTTTCATATAAAAATGATGTATCCAATACTTTACATTTACATATCGTTTCTAACTGTTGTAAAGCATCGTTGATATTTTTAACACAATCACCCATATTAGATCCCAGTCCAATAAAAGCAAAATGATTATATCCTTTGGGGAGTGAAGTTTTTATTGCTTCAGCTCGTTCAGGGATCGTTGAACGCGTATTTCTGAAACTTTTTCCGTTTAAAGGGTTTAAATGAGGTTGTGAAATATGCCTGGTCTCATTTGCAAAATATGACTGACTTCTAGTAATTTCGATTCCAGCGGATTCAGCAAAGACCAGAGCACTTGGTTTTTCCACCCGAACTGTAACTTTGTTAACATGACATTGTATTATTGCTATTTTTGCAGCTGTTGTAGCGAATGCTTCTACAGTTTGATATGTTGATTCTTCGACATACTGATTCGATGTAATGATATAAATTTTGAATATCTTAAAAGATATGCACAGCCGAGAATTATCATAAATACGTACCTTAGAAATAGTTCTAACGATAGTACGATAATTATGTGGCTTGGGGAGGTTACCTTCTTGCGAGGAACTAATATTAAAATCGGAATATATTGTTATATTCAATATCACAGTTTGCTTTTCTTCGCGCTCCCATGGATTGACACCGATAATCGCACTTAATCTCAAATCTTTAACAAATATTACGTCTTGACGGTTATCATTATAAATAGTAAACGTATTTGAATTTGAAGCAATTTTACTATAGTCTTCTCTAGTACGTATTATTTCGACACCTGCAGAAGCAGCGTGCAACAAAGCGCGAGGTTTTTCTACACGAACGGTAACCCGAGGAGCATGACATTCATTCACGCAAATTTTAGCTATTCCTTCTGCTAAAGCCTCGATGGAATCACTGATAGAATCCTCGGCATATTTAGAGACTGCTTTGGAAACTATTCCATAATTAATGGAATATGAAAGTTTATCCTTTTTTCCAGCCTCAGAAATGTTTTTATGAAGAGTTAAATTTATTAAAACTGGTTGACGTTTTACGCGCTCCCAAGAGTCGACTCCCGTAACATTTCCTACGAGAAGATTTTTTATAATAATCTTGTCGTGGGATTCTTCTTCCATTGTAGTAACTTTAGATGATCAATTTGCGAATCAATCATATCTTCTTTTGATTGGTTGATCACATGTAGATTTTGGAACCGAATTTATTTCAATTACTTTATTCAAAAAAAATGACGATACGTAGCATCATTGTATGCACATACGTACACATACATACGTACACACAAAAACATTACTTTTGTTCTCTTATGCGCTTGTACAAATAATGTGAGTATTGCAGTTTCAGAAGTTCTTAGATCCCAAATTAGGCGATTAGAGCTTTTGTTACTGGATTGTATAGAACGTGAAGTAAAGATGTCAATACGAGTATATACTAACCACCAGTCGGGGGGCTAGAATGTCCAGACTCGTGCAAATTAAACCGCATTTTTATGCAATATAAAAATTTTGAATAGCGATAATAATAACTAGCAATTATTACTAGGCCACACCGTAATTGTTTAAATTATTACAAATCAAATTTAGATCAAAAAAAGTTACATATTATGTGCATTGGGTTTTATTATGTTGATATTGTTATTTGTGAAATTATCAAGCATTTTTTATGTGTCTAAAATGCAATCGCACTAGTCTGAACTATAGGTGCAGAAACTTGGGAACATGTTATGTGATTTTTGTTATATCATGATAGAACTTACCAGATAAATT